CAGTCCCTGCCTAGCGGCTTTCGTCTTAAGACTGCCCTGTTGTTCATCCTGTTACAATCCTCTTCTGTCTTCTCCCACTGACAGAGCTCCTTGATTAGCCTGTGCCTCCCCCCCCCCCTTCCCTTCTTCTCACTGTAGGTGGCACAAATCTACTTTGCTGCAAAGCACCCTTCATTCCTGACCTGGCTGCTTACCCATGTGTACTCCTAGCCAGTCCGTCGACCCAAATATCTCCATTTTTAAAATATGCTGGTGATTTTTTTCCTGTTTTTACTTGGGTTAGAATGGTATTGAAAGATAAACAGTTAACTTGGAGAATAAGGGGGGTTATCACTGGGCATGCTTCCCACTGTGTTATTCTATTAGACCTTTTTGTAGTGTGTCTCCCCTTTCCTCCCAACTACATGCTTTCACTTCTTATACTCTTAACTTCATTGGAAAATGTTCCCTTTCTTCTTCACATATTTCCTTTCTATTCCTTAGGCTTTCCTGTATTTTGTTAAGCTCAGTGTTGACCCTCAAAGCTAGTTTTATTTCTTTAAATCTTTGGAGATGCTGCTAATTCCTGATTTTTTAATATGCAGACTTTCATTCAAAAGAGCTGCTGTTCAGACACTGTCATATCTAGTGAACATGCGTTACTGCCCTTTAGTGTCTTTTGTTTCTACTCTTCTCTCCAGTAGCTTGACAGAATTTCATGTTCCCATTTGCTAAAGCCATGTGCTGTGTATATATATTGTTAATACCCCTTCTAATCCTAGTGAGTAGGCAGCCTTGGAACGAAAACTTTTTTTTTTGTCTTAGTACTGCTGCTATGCCCATTCCTTTCTCCTTCTTTGCTCCATTTCAGCAAGACTTGTTCAGTTTGCAATGCTGCATGCAGTTATTAATTCTGTTTATTGATTCTGCTGTTGGGGCTATCTTTTCAACCCATCTTGGTGAGTTTCAGCATTAATTGCTCTCATGCTGGCCTGTGGTCTGCTGTTATGCAAGCTGACTGGAGAGTATCAAGGCAGGGAAAGCATCCAAAAGGGTCAACTCTGTTCAGGTTTTCTTTCTGTAAAGACGTGTATAAACATTAGCAAACAAATAGCCTCCATGTATACTGGACTGATGTTTGGTAGAGCATTGTAGCGTAGGAAAATATCTCACAAAATTAAAATGTTGTGTATGGTTACATTCTTGGAGTTTTTGTGTTACGGGGCGGGGGGGAGGAGGAATCTGAACTTTGACTCTTGGCTAGCAAACCATTAACCTTGCCTAAAGATTGGTACACAGAATTACAGAGTGCATTCAATTGTATGCCCCCCCCCCATTAAGTTACATGTTGATCTTCTAGACATGTTTTACTTTTGTTGGAACAGTGAAAAGCTTGGGCAGAGAGAACATAGAGTAGGGATGCGAGGAATTGCTAAGGTAGTCATGAACATTGCAAAATTTATGAGGCAGCAAATGCTATCCCACATGCATGCTCTGATGCTTCATTGTGGCCTGCCCTTTTGTTTGTTTGTCCTATATTGTCCTAATTAAATTGAAAAAGGTCTTGATGCTTGGGCAGGAAGGGTCTAGTGATGTGGAGGCTTAGTAATCTGCAGCTCATAACCTTGCTCTATTAATACGCAGTGTTCTGGCCGTTCATTAACTCTGTACTTGGGAATGGTTTTGATAATGACAAATAAGAACTGCCGGCTGACTTTGTAATATTGCCCTATCACATAGGCCTATTGTACTGCGGTCCATTTCAGCATGTCCACAGAAAGATAACATTTCTCCTGCTTGTAATGAAATCTGGGTTCATAAACAAGAGCTGTTTATGTAAAACCACTGGTGGAGCAAGTTTCCCTTGTTGGGATGGAAAAGGGATTCATTCTTGCATTATTTCCACTACAGTGGTGACTGTATCACTTCATTTCCCTCCTCTGAATAATGTATTTAGGATAATGGAACAGCCTATGCCTTTATGTCAGAGACACATTACAGAGGCTGCTGAAAGAAGGCACTGGGTGAAAAGATGGCAATATCTTTTGTTGGATATGCTTCTGTTGCTGGATATATACAAGCCTTTGACTTCAACAGAACTCTTTTCTTGTTGAAAATAATTTTTGCTGATGGTTTTAGAACATAAGAAATGCCCTGCTGGATCAAACCAGTGGTCTATCTAGTCTAGCATCGTGTCTCATACAATGGCCAACTAGTTCCTCTGGAGGTCCAACAACAGGGCATAGAGGCCAAGACCATCCATGATGTTGCCTCCTGGCACTGATATTCAGAGTTTTATGGCCTTTGAATGTGGAAGTTCACTTTAGTCATGGTTTATAGCCACTGGTAGACCTATCCTCCATGAATCTATGTAATCCCCCTTTAAAGCTATCTGTGTCTGTGGCCATCACTATATCCTCTGGCAGCACATTTTTAGTATAATTGAAAGAGCAGCTGATGGACCCATTACTTTGGTTTCACTTAAAGTTACTTAACATGAAATTCTAGGCACGTTATTAAGTAAGGTCTGTTGGAATCAGTGTACTGCATTCCTGTGTAAGCATGCATAGGATCAGGCTGTTAGTTGCTTAAGTCATTTTTTTCTCTCAAGTGCCACTATTAGGTTTGCCATTTTTGAGTGTGTCTTAACAGTATATTCTGTAATTTGCTGTCCACCAAAATGCTCTTCCAAGTTATTGCATCAGAGCTGTAACAGTAGGAAAGCATTATGTGTGTTCAAAGGAGAAGTGCTTGAGTCTCTTTCTAATGTACTCTGCCAGTGTCTCACAGGCATTCTTGAAGGTCATTCAGCAGTGCCCGTAAATATGTACAAATTATGAGTTAAGGTTGTTAACCTTGTAAGCAAAGCCATTTTACACTAAGTGCATTCTTGCATTACTTTCTATAACCTGTGTGAGGTAAATGCATTCAGAATGCAGTGGGTGTCCTCGTTTTTCCTGCTCCTAGCAGGACTTACGGACACTGAGGCCTTTTTCAAGGGAGGCATAAATTGCTTCCTGTATTTCACTTGTCTGTGACATCACACTGATCCCAATTCAGCTTGTTCGAAACATTAACATTTTGTGGTTGTGCATAGGATGGATGGAGTGAAGAGAGATTGTTGGAGAATTATACACAGTTGTAGCATCTGAATTAGTTATAAGACAGACTGCTTTGCCCTCTAGTTCTAAAACTAGAGACCCATGTTGGTGACTTGTCCAATGCACAATTTGTGTATGATCCCTCCCTGCCCCCACGTATTTACAGAAGCACTGATCTGCCTAATGATTCATATATATGGGTAACCTCTTCACAAATAAAGGATTTTGTTTCATGGTAGAGAAAAGAAGAGAAAACATATCCAAGCATCAGTTCAGTGATAGATGGGTAACTATGTTCATTGTTGACCTTTCTGAAATCAGTTAATTCTTGATTATGCTTTGCAATTGTCAGAACCCACAGCCAACAACGAAGTACACACATTCAGGAACGGTAATACTTTTATTGCAGAGCTATAGATGCAGTAACATAAGCACTGTTAAGAATGGCGGCGGCCCCTTGGGCATAATAGGATATAGGGTATTCGTATGCACACACCCCCTCAGAGC